TTCGCCTGGAGATGGGCGTCCCAGCGCAGGTCTTCGAGTGGCGCTCGGCACCTTCGCGGCCGACGCGTGGTCCCATATCGAGAAGTGGAGTGGGCCTCGTGTGGTGCGGTGCCCCCATCTCAACGCGGCTTCGTTGCTGCGCGCGGCGCAGGTCACCTCCCCATCAGTGCGGCGAGATCCTGCCCAGCCTGAAGTCGCGCGCGGAGGTGCGCGTCGCGGACCAGTCGCTCCTGGTGCTCAGCTCTGGGCGGTGCTACCCAACCCGCTGGCGCCCCCACGCGCTCGTGGAGAATTTGCCTGCGGCTGCTGTCGGGTGCCCGCCGCCTGGGCCGCGGGTGGGCTTGCTCTCCTTCGGTCGCCCTGCCGCCCGAGATGCCCTCGCCCAGTTTCCCGTCGTGCGTCCTCGTCCTCAACGGGCTGCGCGTCGGCGATGCGGGAAAATTCTGACAACGTGGCGCTTCTCCGTGACCATCTTCGACGGCGTCTCCTCAAGTTTGCTGATGCGAGTCCCGAGCTGATGGATGCCATCGAGTGGGGCGACGTTGGCCTGCTCCTCGAGCGCTGTCCTTGCTCGTGGGCATGGGCGGCGCTCCGCACCTGCTGCGACGGCTGGCTCACCTCCTTTCGGATTCTGCACCCATGTGGGGGGAGATGTTGTGCATGCGGATGCCTGGCGCATCGTGACGCACTTGCACATTATCTTCGTTGTCCTCGGCTCCACGTGGCGCTCGAGACTGCACTCGGACGGCAGCGGCCGCGTGACCCTATGGTGAAGTGGGGACTACGGCATCCCACCCTGCTTGCCTTCTCGTGGATGACGGCTGCCCACTCGATGTACCACGTTGCGCGGCGCTCTACTGAGTGGCCACTCTCGCTACCTGCGATTCGCTCTGCTGCGCTAGCAGGGGTGCGATCGATGCGGCTCGCCACTCCGCGGCGGCTCTCCGAGGAGGAGCGCGCCTTTCTGGCCCCGCTGCCTCTCGGGCCTCGCCGCCCGTCTTCGGCCTCCTCATCGTCGACTTCGAGCTCCACCAGTACGCCCGTGGCGGGGGGATCTACGGCCAGCTCGCGGAGCTCATCTTCTGCGCCCTCGACAATTTCTACAGCCTCATCGTCGACATCAGGTGGCTCCTGTGCTTCTTGCGCCGTCATCCCCTATTGCAGTTGGCGTTAGGGCGCAAGTCCCGCCTGGGCGTGCGGCCTCTGAGTCGCCACCTGCTGGACGTGCCTCCCCTCGTCTTTCGGTCCATGTCCGTGGCGTTAGAGCGCTTGTCCCGTTGTCGTGTTCGGGCGCATTGTCGCCGCTGGCCGCCTCCTCGCCGCCCTCAACAGGCGTTGGGGCGCAAGTCCCGTTGTCGTGTTCGGGCTCGCCGTCGCCGCGAATAGGACGCCTCGATTCGGGCCCTCTGGGCTTTGGCGTTAGATCGCAAGTCCCGTTGTCGTGTTCGGGCTTCACGCCGCCACGTATCGGACGCCTCGGGGAGGGCCCTTCCTCTGGTGGCGTTACATCGCAAGTCCCGTTGTCGCGTTCGGGCTCGCCGCCGCCACGTGTCGGAGAAAATGTTGACCTAGTGGGGCCCGCCCGACTCTGGACGCCATCTGCGCTGTCTTCGGCGGGTCGCTCGGTGACGCCCTCATCTTTGTTTGCCGCGGGATCTTCAGTGACGTGGCCCAGATCGATCGCCACCGGAGCAGCAGCGACGAGGTCGAGTCCGATTGCGTCGGCGCCTGCGGGTTCCGAGGCGCGCCTGCGTGAGCCAGCGCCGAGTGCCCCTTCCATCCTGTGCCTCTCGACGTTCAGTTCTTGCTCGTCGATCTTCTCGACCGCCCCTCTGTCTGCCACCGCCTCTGGCGCTGCCTCTGCTCCCGCCGCCGCGGGCCTTGCCCCCCCGCCCCCGCCCTTCCTGGCGCCTACTGCAGGCAGGCCCCTTGCGTTTTAAGGTTCGGGGGTGCGCGCGCCCTCGGGGGCTCGGCCTGGCGAGAGACGGCTACTGCGAGAGGTGCGGGAAACTCATTTTCGCGGCTGGGGCCTCTTCTGTTTTTTCTCGCCCGCTCTCCCCCCCCCGCCCGCTTCCCCCCTCGTTGCCCGTGCCGCCTTCCAAGATGTTCCGTCGCGGCGCCCTCGTATTGCCGCTGCTCATGCATGTCGCGCTCTTGCCCCGGTCGTCGCTGATCCCCGCCAGCCGATTTCGGGAGCCTCGAGACGGGGTTCAATGCAAACGGGGGTCAGCCAGGGCGCCAGATCCTGCAGGATCCTGCGAAAGCCCCCTCTGGCTGACCCGGGTCAGGGAGCCGCTCGTGGCCGCGAGGCGGCCGCGCGTATTGGCTGACCCGGGTCTGGGAAGCCCTGCGCTGCAGTTTTTTTTCCTGCATTGCAGTTTCTGGTTTCCTGCTGACCTGGGTCTGGATTGACCCGGGTCAGAGGATCCCCGACGAATGCTCCCAACATCTGGTGGCGCCCATGCTTGCGGCGCGGACCCTCATGTGTCCTGTCCGTCGCTCCCGAGGCCTGCTCCGGCCGCTGCGTGCTCCCCCGCCTGCTCCTCCTCCTGTCGCTTCTTCTCACCTGCGGGGCAGAAATTCATGGTGGCAGGTCTTCTTGCCGCTTTGGCTTCCGGGGGCCGCCTTGCTTTGGGTCCCAGGGCCGTCAGAAGACGGCCCGCGGCGGAAAACCGGTTTGGGGGAGGGGGTTGAGAGTTCTGGGGGCCCGAGCCGTGATGCAGTAACGTTACTGTAGAGCGTCAAGTGTGCTACTACGGCCCCGCTTTCTTCGAGGGCAGCAGGAGGTGCGCCCGCGCCCGCCCGAGGCGCCGCCCCCGCGCCTGGCGGCGTCGGCTAGGTGGACGCGGACCCCCCCTCTACGCTCGGCTCACCCCTCTCCTGCCTACGGCAGTGGGGATGGAACATCGGCCCATCAGCGCGCGTTCCGATCCGCGCCCCACGACGGGAGCGCCAGGTGGGCGTCCCCCCCCCCGCCGAGACAGCTCCCGGGTCGGCCCCCGCTGGGAACCGCCGCCGCGCGTCGAAGGCGCCGCGACACGCGGCGGCGTTCGCCCGCGGGGCGATCGAGGCTGGCCCCCGTTGAGCGCGTACATGGGGTTGGCCCAAAAGGGGGTCCAGCAGCGACAAGGGGCTGGTGCTATGGCTTTGTGGGGTTGCAATACATCTGGGACGTGCAAGGCGTTCCGGGGCGCAAATCAATTGCTGGATTTTCGCGTGCAATGCGCTACTTGCAATACAACGCAAGAGAATGTTCCAGCGCAGCGCACTTGCAATACAATTGCCCCGAATATATGGCACCACCCCCTTTCGGCTGGACCCCCTTTTGGGTCACCCATAAATTCGCGTATGTGTATACGTACACATGCAAATATGCGTACGAACGCAAACAAGTGTGTAATCTATAGAGGATCGAAGACTCCTGGTCCTGCACAGTGACAAGATCACGTCGTCGGAGATCAGGCTTCCTTCCCCTTCGCCTAAAGGCCGACTCTATCGGACCCACTGCCACTATGAAGCTTGGGAGCTCGACCCCTCTGCCCTTAACATCAAACACCTTGGTCGCTCCGTGGTCGGCACCTCTCGTAGTCCCCCGTGGTGGGCTACACATTGGATGTGGCACCGAGTGTTTTCCCCGCCTTCCTCTTCCTGATCGTCTTGCTTCTTCATCTTGCTGCCCTACTTCGCATAGTACGCTGTTGTTGTAGTGCCGACCCCAGTTCAGGACCACCCTTCTCGTCCAATGTTGGGTTAATGAGCGGGGTGCATAAATCCACGATTGGACGACCTAGGCAGAGGGCGGACGGATGTTTTGCAGTATGTTGTGCGTTTTCCTTTCCCGCTCTCCTTCCACTTCTCCTCTTCCTTTTCCTCCGCATCCTCCCTTCTCATGCCGTGTGTTATTTCACGCTTTTAGGTGTAGTGCGATTTGATCACAGTTCTTGCTGATACACGAGACGTGTCTCTAGAGCTGCGCTTCGTGCGAAAATCAACTACGTATGTGGAGAGCGCTCGTAAGCATCTGGAGGGGTCCCATGGTGTAGAACTTGTGGAAACTGCAGCCGCACAAGTCCACCTCGGGAGCCCTGGCGTGCTCTTCTTTCTCCTCTTCCTCCTCCTTCTCCACATCACCGTCTTTGTCCAGCTCAGTCCTCCCCTGTCGTGCTCATGTGTGTAGGTACCCTGGCATCACCCATACCAGCTGCGAAATCGGACTCCAAGCCACGTCCTCCCCGTCGTCCACTATTATCTTCGTCTTCACCCTTCTTCTCATCGTCCGCATCCTTCTCTTCGTTGTTTTCCGCCATTCCAGGCATCGTTGGTCGTCCTCATTCTCCTGCTGTTTCTACTCGGCGTCCTGCTGCTGCTCCTTATCCCGCTGATAGTCTCCTGATTATCCTCCCCTTCTTTCTGAGGGATTTCCCCAGCGAGGCCGGGGCGGCCTTGCCTTGGGGCTCGCGACCCGCTTCTTTGCCCAACGTGTAGGGGGGAAGGGCAGCGAGGGACGGTAGCGTACAGATTTGCGAAGATTTGGCCCTGGAAGTGGGGCAGACATCAGATGGCCTCATGGTCCCCGGGCTGAGGGTCAGAAATGAGGTGAACAAAATGTTGCGTTCCATGTGCTTCGAGACTTGCACTGATATCGTGATGAGCCCAACCCCTGCTCATCCCTCCTGGGGTCGTGGAAATCCAACGCCTGCCACGCCCCGCGAGCGTGACATGGGTAGGGGAACCACCCCCTGCGCACCACGTCTGCCCTCGCGGAACTGCAGCGCCTGCCGCGCTGTGCGAGCGTTGCACCCATAGGGCAACCACTCCCGCGCACTCCTCTCTGGTGTCGGGGAACTGCCACGCCTTCCGCGCCCTGCGATCGTGACGCGGACCCGGGAACCGCCCCCTTGCGGACCCCCCCGCGCCCGCCGCGCCCTGCGAGCGCGACGCACGGAGAGGGAACCCGCCCCCCCCTCCTCCGCTGGTGGCGAGGCTTCTCCTCCGGAGCTCCCACGAGGCTCCCGAGAGGGTGCGCGCACCCGCTCCCGCGGGGATCCTTCCGAGGCCGAGCCCCTTGCGGCGCAAGCGGGGTCCGTAGCCGTTCAGGCGCAAGCCAAGTCGGGCACCGTAATCTCACACTCACCCATAACTACTATAACCTCACTCTGCCATCACCGGTAGCCAAACTCTTCCATCGGCGCCATGGTGGCCCCGCTGCTGCTGGCGCTGTGCGCCCCCATGGCCGGGGGCATCGCCCTCCATTCGGACGCTCGGCACGCGGGCGGCAAGGCCGACGGGTTCAGCTCGGCCCTGTCGCAGGAGACCCTGGACTTCTTCCGCCATCTCGAGAACGCATCTTCGAGGCGGCCCGCGATCATGCCGCCAGGAGACGTCCGTCGGGCATGGCAGTCGAGGCACACGCACGGGCACGCGAATGGTGACGCCAGTCTCCTGGACCTCGCGGACAGCGACGCGTTCCAGCCTTCCGACGAGTTCCAGAGGGCGGGCGAGGAGCAGGGCGAGGGCTCCGAGCTGCCCTGGGGCATCGGCATGCGGGGCGACTCGAAGCCTCTCTACGAGTACTCGGCTATGCCCACGCTCGACGTCCCCCACTACGTCGAGTACAGCCTGGAGTCTGGGAATAATATCCAGACCTTTAGCAGCGCTTGGCAGGACGTCAAGCTCATAACGCAGGTGCTCGAGAACGTCACCAACGGCTTCTACTTGGACACCCACGGCGGGGATGGCGAGACGAACAGCTACACGCTTCTGCTCGAGCTCACCGGCTGGCGCGGCCTCATAATTGAGCCCCTAATCTACAATTTCGCAAATTTGTGGGGCAAGTTGCGGAAAGCGTGGATATTCCTCGGGTGTGTGTCTCCGACCTGGAACGCCACGCAGATCGGTTTCGACACCGAGGGCGTAATCGACATGGAGAGCGGTCACTTCGTCCCGGCCTACAACATTCCTGCCTTCATGGAGGAGCTGGGCGGCCGTAAGACTATCGACTTCTGGGCCGTACACAATGGCCATTATGAGGCAGAGGTCCTGAATGAAACCTTCCTTTATTCGGGGAAGAACATCGAGTTCGGGGTCGTCTTGGTCCGCTTCGATGGTCGTCGTACTGGTCGTGGCTATCAGTTCTTCGCTCAGCACAGGTCCAAAGACGCTACCGAAGAGCTCATCTTTGAGATCATGCGCACCGCCTCCTTCAATTACATCGGTGGCCTGGACGCGTACTGGATCAACTATGTCGAGCCGCGCTTTGGTTACATGGACCATGTGTGGGTGAACCCTGCGTACTTCGAGAGGCGCGGCCTCCCAGTCCCCTCGTGGTGCAAGTCGGCGCCCCCGCCCAAACTGGAGTACACCGATCAGAAGGCAGGGGCCATCCCTTGGGACGCGGGCTACACCTACAAAGAGGAGGTCAACAAGGTGATGGCGTACATGGCGAATGCGAAGCGGGCTGCCGCGGCGACGGAGTCGGCCGCCCAAGCGCACCGCGTGGTGGCGACCGAGCTGCCGTCGGTGAAGCATTGAGCTCGCCCACCCGAAGGATGCTGGCGTCGCCCCCGGCGGCGTGCCAGCCTGGCCACGTCAGGCCGCCCCCTGCACTCAGGTCTGCGCTTCGGCGAGGCAGCAGGGGGTGGCAGTGCCCACTGTGGCCCCGCTGTGATGCAGCATCGTCCGGGAAGCTTCCCTAGAAACTAAACTTCCGAGATCTCCGTGCGCACTAGCGCCGCAGATTGCTCCAGTTCTGCTGTCGCCTGCTTCTAGTTCTCGCCCGACTCGGGAATCCTGAGCCGGGGCGAGGAGAGATGAGGAGTGAGACGACCACGAGGACGAGGGGGTAGATGAGGGCGAACAGGCAGAAGAGGAGGAGGACGAGGAGGACGAGTCTTACGGGCGCTGGCCTTGTTATACAAGAGTCTGCTTCCAGGCCGTCGTATAATTCGAGGCTGCAGCGCTTTGTGATCGTACTAGACAGCGGACTTTTGCCAGCCTTTCGGTGTGGTTTCTTCGCTATCTAGGTTCAGTCGTGTGACTAAGTACCTCAGAGCAGACTCGCACCCTGGAGGAGAAGGGGGTGACGCTCGCCGAGGCAGCTTTCATGCCACTTCTATGAGGCCCCGCTGCCCCCCCCCTCGCGATCTGCTTGTCCTGATGGAAAAAATCGAGCCCCTGCGGGGACCTGGCAGGCGAATCTGCACAGCACGTGACTGCATAATGTGTGCTCGTGTGTCTGTGAGAGGGGAAGCGAGGGAAGGAGGAGAGCGGGAGGGAGGAGGGAGGAGGGAGAAGGAAGTCGAAGAAGAGAGAACTGCACAAACATGAACTTCCCTGAGCTCCGCGCGGATTTCTTGGATCGGCGCTGGGCTTCCCTGGCGGCGCGCCTCCTCCTCCTCCTCCTCCTCCTCCTCCTCCTCCTCCTCCTCCTCCTCCTCCCTCCTCCCTCCTCCCTCCTCCCTCCTCCCTCCTCCCTCCTCCCTCCTCCCTCCTCCCTCCTCCCTCCTCCCTCCTCCTCCTACTCTCCAGGGGCGGCGCCGGAGGTGCGGCCAGGGGGGGGTCCATTGTCGACCCAAGAAGTCCACGCGACCTTCGACGGCTTGCGCATCTGGCGCTATTGACTCCTCCAAGGACGCCGCCGCCACCGCGGCCAACCCTCTCAAGGCCAGCCGCTTGCGCGGCCCCCGCCGGGGGGGGGGGGTAAGGGGTAGTTGCCTGGACCCCCTCGCGTCGTGGAAAAGACAAAACGGCAAGGCTTGGGCGATGATCTTCGGCTTCCGTGAGCCCTCACTGGGCCCTGGGACCGACAAGAAGCGACTCGGGAGAAGAGCCGTTCTCGGGGAAGGGTTCTGGACATTCGGGGGTCCACGCGGAAATATGATGTCGGAGATCTGGGTATTCGGGCAGGCCACTCCACAGCGTGCTGAGACGCTCTGGAGCGGCCGCGGTGCACGACGCATCCTCCAGTTCCGCCAGTTCTCAGGGATTCCCGATTTGTCTCAGTCCGAGTTCATGTTCTACACGCTTCGCGTAATCTCACCAGCTCATCCAGAAACGATGCCCCGGCGAGTTGCCTTGATCAGGGACGTGGAAGAGCATGCAGTGGAATAAAGGATTGGGTAAGCCGTCATACCGTAATACCCCAAGAGGGGGAGGATGGAGGAGGTTCGGAGGAGGACGAGGAAGGGGGAGGAGGAGGGGAGGGGAGGAGGGAGGAAGAGGAGGAGGAGGAGGCGGAGAAGGAGGAGGAGGAGAAGGCTACATCCAGAGGATTTGTCAGCCATCAGGAATCAGGAATCAGGAGGACGGGGAGGAGGAGGGCGAATAGAGACATCAGAGGCCTCTTGTCTCCTCTTGGAGTCTACTCGGATGCCTCATGAGAGCTTTTTTGGATTCCTCTTGGGGCATATTGGCGGTTTGTATGGCCTCTTGGGGCGTCTTGGGTGCCTCGGGGGAGCCTCTTGGGAGATTTTCTACGATCTTTTGGGTGCTTCTTGGGGCCTCCTGGGCGCCTCTTGCGGCCCTCTTGGGGCACTCCTGGGGCTCTGAGGCCTATCGGGGCCGTCTTGACGGATATCGATCAAAGAAGAGGAGAGTCTTAATTGCGCTGCCCCTCTAGAGCCCCTAACATCGCCTCTTGGGGCCTTCTTGTGGCGCTCTTTGGCGCTCTTGGGGCCGTCTTGGGACCATCTCGGGCTCCTCTTCGGGCTCTTCTGGGCCTTCTTGGAGCCACCTGGAGGCCTCGGAGGGCCGTCGAAAGCGAAAAGGCCAGAAGGCCAGGCACATTGATTCCCGACATCCTGAGATGGGGTTCTTGCTCCCCTGTATCCTAAGATGGGGTTGTCTTGTGCTTGCTTGGACGGCTCCGAGGACAAACCCTGCTACAGTGGGGGCCCATGCCAAGAAGCACCATGCTTGCCTCCAGGGTGCCCTGGGTTTCTTGGGTTTTGAGGGTTTTGCGATGGAGGGCGTGGCGTTCCCACACCAAAAATCGATGGACGTCCTGGGGTCTCAGGGTTGGGTTTCTTGTGGAAAGTTTCTTGTGGTCGGGCCCCTACTGTACTCCTCCTCTCACCTCCTCGTCCCCCTCTTCCCATGGCTCGCTCACACCCAAACTTATACTCATACTCAGTCATGCTCAGATTTACTCACACTGAGGCCCACTCACACCCTGACTCGCTCGTACTCTGACCCACTCACGCTCAGACTCCTTCGCAACCAGACTCCCTCACAAGCAGACTCACACATATTCAGACTTCGTACACTCAGACCCACACGCCCTGACTCACTCACACGTAGACACTCGCTCCCGAACTCAATCACACTCAGGTCAACTCACACGTATACCACGCTCATGCTGAGACTCAGGCTCACTCATATTCATTGGTGGTCCAATGACCACCGCGATATAGCAGACGTAGCATATGGGCCCCCCAAGGAGGTGGTACCGGGCGTGGGGACACTCCAGAATTCGCGCCCAGATGGTGGGGATGCCTCAGGCGGTTTGCCTGTTTGCGTGCCCATCACCCTCTGCGGTCGGAGCAGAGTCTGTGGATGTCTCAGGCGAGGCGCTGGTTTCAGCATTCCTAAGGGGGGACGCCAGGGGTGGGCACATTCCAGAGTTCATGCCCATTTTGTGGGAATGTCCCAGGAGGTTTGCCTGTTCGCGTGCCCAACATCTTCTGCTCTCAAAGCAAACACGGGGGACGTCTCAGGTGGTTGGTCCACTGCTCACCGCGATGGAGCAGACGTGGCACTTGAGCACCCCAAGGGGGAGCCGTCATGGGTGGGAACACTCCAGGGTTCGCGTCCAGATTGTGGGATGTTTCAGGCGGTTTGTCTGTTTCTGCCCCCCCAGGTTACTACTTTTCTTGTGTGGTCCACTGCTCACCAGGCGTTATATTTGGGCCCCCCAAGGGCGAGCGGCCAGGGGTGGGGATACTCCAAGGTTCGCGTCAGTTTGTTGGGATGGCTCAGGCGGTTCTGCCCCCCCCCAGACTTTCCCCTTCTGGTGGTCCAATGCCCACCGCGATATAGTTGGCACCCGAAGGCGGAGCCGCCAGTGGTGGGGACAGTACCGGATTCGCGCTCAGATTAGGGGGGGGTGTCTCAGGCGGTTTGCTTGTTTATGCAACCCCAGAGTTTTGCTTGGACTTGCGTGCTCATCAAATACTTACTCCCTTCCTTCCCCTTTTCCCCACTCGGACGCACTCACTCGCACTCGGACTTACTCATCAGGACCCTTTCCTCGTTCAGACTGACTCATCACATTCAGACTCGCTCATAATCAGATTCGAGCATACTCTTACTCACATATACCTACTTGATCATACTCAGACTCGCTCAAACTCAGGCTCACTCACACCCAGACCAACTCACACTCAGACTCACGCACACTCAGACTCACCAGTCCTCAGACTCATACTCAGACGACCTCGCACCCATGCTCACTCATATTCAAATTTGTACTCATCACACTCAAACTCAGATTCATCCACACTCAGACTCAGTCACACTCATTACCCACCCACACGGAGACTCGCTCGCACTCATATCCATTCATATTCAGACCCACTCGTACATACACTGACAAGCACACTCGGGCTCAATAATACTCGGATCCAGTCACACTCCGACTCGCTCACACGCAGACCACCCACGCTCAGATTCGCTCGCACTAAGGCTCATAACACAAAGATGGTTACCACGATATGGCCGGCCCGGCGTGACACTTGGGCACCCCCAGTGCCAGCAGGTACCGCGAGTAGCGCGCCAGAGAGCGGTCGCAGGAATGCCGTGGGGAGAACGGCGAGAGTTTCCACTTGTGTTTCCCTCGTTTCTCCTGAACGATGTCTGGAGGAGGGTGGACGTCACTGACGTCGTTATTGTCGTCGTCATTGCCGCGCCTGTCGTCTACGCGGAGTCGCTCTCATACCCAGATGCTCACAGACACAGCCCCTCAGCGAAAGGTGACAAGGGTATGAGATGCACATCTCGGGATCGCCGCGCCGAGTTATGATTACTCGGGCGCCTCCGACCCTGCTCGTATCACTCAGATACTCAAATTCAGATGACTCGCGCCCACCACGGGGCCCACCACGGGGCCCATCACATATCCATGTTTCCTCACGCAGACGTAGCCACATCACTTCCTCACACAGGCACAGACTCACTCAGACTCAGACTCAGACTCACTCACACCCACTCAGCGAGTTAGGTTCAGACGCATTCTGATTTTTACACAGTGAGACTCCGATATCAAGCAGTGGCGAAGCGTCCTGGTGTGCCTACAGTCCTACCAAACAATGTTCTAATAACCTTTTGTGTGTTTGCACGAAATGTTCTTAGAACATTTCTGGCTGGGACTGTCTTGTTTTAACACATCGGGTTGATTGTTTTAAGAACATTTCGTGGTAGGAGTATAGGAACGCCGTGGCGGTCGGTCCCTGCTCAAGATACATTCTTCAGCACTCAGACTCGTTCAGACTTGTCTGGTGGTCAAATGCTCGCTGCGACATAAGAGGCGTGGCACTTGGGCACCTCGAGGGGGAACCGCCAGGGGAGGGGACACTCAAGGAGTCGCGCGCAGTTTGGGGGGATCCCTCGGGCGTTTTTTTATGATCAGGAATTCTAGCATGTGCCGCGAGTAGTACGCCAGAGAGTTGCCTGAGCTGCTGCGGGGAAAACGGCAAGATGAAGTTCCCCCGCGCTCTTCACTTGTGTTTCCCTCGTCTCCCCTGAAAGATGTATGGAGGAGGGGAACGTTACTGAAGTCGCTGTCGTCGTCGTCGACGTGACAGGACTATGGGGTGCACATCTGCGGATCCCTGCGTCGAGTACTTTTCTGATGGTTGTTGTTTAAGGCTCTTGGTGGATTCCTTCGGAGGGCCCAATGGCCACTTGGAGCCGTCTTGGGGCAGTGTTGGGGCCTCTTGGAACATGTTGGAAGCTTTTTTCCCAACCAACCTGTATTGTTGGGTCCTCGTTTTGAAGAGACGGTGGCCCGCGTCTCCTCCTCCTCCTCTCCTCCTCCTCCTCTCCTCCTCCTCTCCTCCTCCCCCTCCTCCTCCGCACACCCATTTCGGCACACCACTCACACGTTTCGTGGCCCCATAGGGAGCTCCGCCGAAGGTCCCAGTGGGTGTGCCCGCATGCGTCCCGCACACCCATTTAGGCACACCCCTCACACGTTTCGTGGCGTGGCCCCATAGGGAGCTCCACCGAAGGTCCCAGTGGGTGTGCCCGCATGCGTCCCTCACACCCATTTCGGCACACCCCTCACACGTTTCGTGGCCCCATAGGGAGCTCCACCGAAGGTCCCAGTGGGTGTGCCCGCATGCGTCCCGCACACCCATTTCGGCACACCCTTCACATATTTCGTGGCCCCATAGGGAGCCCCACCGAAGGTCCCAGTGGGTGTGCCCGCATGCGTCCCGCACACCCATTTCGGCACACCCCTCACACGTTCGTGGTAGGGAGCTCCACCGCCCGCCCGCGTCCCGCACACCCATTTCGGCACACCCCTCACACGTTTCGTGGCCCCATAGGGAGCTCCACCGAGGGTCCCCGGGCTGTGCCCGCATGCGTCCCGCACACCCATTTCGGCACACCCCTCACACGTTTCGTGGCCCCATAGGGAGCTCCACCGAAGGCCCAGTGGGTGTGCCCGCATGCGTCCCGCACACCCATTTCGGCACACCCCTCACACGTTTCGTGGCCCCATAGGGAGCTCCGCCGAAGGCCCCCCGCATGCGTCCCACATTTCGGCACACCCCTCACACGTTTCGTGGCCCCATAGGGAGCTCCACCGAAGGTCCCAGTGGGTGTGCCCGCATGCGTCCCGCACACCCATTTCGGCACACCCCTCACACGTTTCGTGGCCCCATAGGGAGGTCCCAGTGGGTGTGCCCGCATGCGTCCCGCACACCCATTTCGGCACACCCCTCACACGTTTCGTGGCCCCATAGGGAGCTCCACCGAAGGTCCCAGTGGGTGTGCCCGCATGCGTCCCGCACACCCATTTCGGCACACCCCTCACACGTTTCGTGGCCCCATAGGGAGCTCCACCGAAGGTCCCAGTGGGTGTGCCCGCATGCGTCCCGCACACCCATTTCGGCACACCCCTCACACGTTTCGTGGCCCCATAGGAGCTCCACCGAAGGTCCCAGTGGGTGTGCCCGCATGCGTCCCGCACACCCATTTCGGCACACCCCTCACACGTTTCGTGGCCCCATAGGGAGCTCCACCGAAGAGGAGTGAAGGCCCCCCGCGTCTGGTCACACGTCGTGGCCCCATAGGGAGCAAGGTCCCAGTGGGTGTGCCCGCATGCGTCCCGCACGCCCATTTCGGCACACCCCTCACACGTTTCGTGGCCCCATAGGGAGCCCGCCGAAGGTCCCAGTGGGTGTGCCCGCATGCGTCCCGCACGCCCATTTCGGCACACCCCTCACACGTTTCGTGGCCCCATAGGGAGCCCACCGAACGTCCCAGTGGGTGTGCCCGCATGCGTCCCGCACACCCATTTCGGCACACCCCTCACACGTTTCGTGGCCCCATAGGGAGCTCCACCGAAGGTCCCAGTGGGTGTGCCCGCATGCGTCCCGCACACCCATTTCGGCACACCCCTCACACGTTTCGTGGCCCCATACGGAGCTCCACCGAAGGTCCCAGTGGGTGTGCCCGCATGCGTCCCGCACACCCATGTCGGCACACCTTTCACTCGTGTCGTGGCCCCATAGGGAGCTCCACCGAAGGTCTCCGTGGCGCAGTCCGCACGCGTTTTCCCCACCCAGTACACCTCCGTCGGAGGCCGTCGGAGTTCCGCGCCTCCCTCGCCCGTCGTCGCTCTGCCCAGCGACAAGAGTCTTGCCCGCTATCAGCCAGCCAGCTAGCTCTCTTTGCTGCGCGCAGCGGACGACCCGCGCGCGTCGCTGGGACCCCTCCAGGGCGACCTGCGCGCGTCGCTGGGACTCCGCGCTGCGCTGCGCCCGCAGCTTTGGACTTTTGAGTGCGCGGGCAAAGAGGGAGTAAAAGAAGGGGAGGAAGCGGGCGCGATCCTCGCGGTGGCGTCGCGGCGCGCGGGCGATGCCGTCGGGGAGTCCCGGGGAAGCTCCTTGCGGCGGCCGCGCCTAGCGTCGCGAGTACTCAGAGGCAGTCGTTCACAAACTATTAGCATTCATATACAATTGCACCATACATTGGCATACTCGCATTCGTGCACGTAGACTCACTCGCACGCAGATTCATTCACAGTCAGACGCACTCTCGCTCAGATTCACCCGCGCTCAGTCTCCTTACGTACTCAGATCAATCGTTTTCGTTCGCGTCGTGTACCACGCCATTCATTTCGGCACACCACTAGCACGGTTCGTTGCCCCATAAGGATCACCACCGAAAAAGGGAATCACAGTTGCGGTACTCACACCTGCATATGGTTGGGTCCTTCGTCTGGCTAATTGAGCTATATTGAGCCATCTTGCGTCGAGTAATTTCCGCATGGATATTTTCAGCATGTTTGGCCTCCTGGTGGCCTCCATGGCCACTTGGAGCAGTGTCGGAGCGGTGCTGGGGCCTCTTTGAGCATGCTTGACGCTAGCTTGAGCTATCTTGAAGGTCATGCTCGGCGCTCGAAGGCCCTCTTGAAGCCACGCTGGGCCATCTTAGACGCCCTGATCAGGCGATCGCAAACATGGATTAAGGGGGCGTGGATTAACGATGGGACTCGTGGGGAAATCCTTCATTTCCGCCGCCGAGCAAGGCGGCACCGGCCGCATTTTGTGGACGGCACCTCCCCCGATTCATGGATTTGGCGACCGCGCGCCAAATCCACGGATCGCTAATCCATGTTTGCGCGCCCCCGACACCGCGATCTCCCTGACAAAACCCAGCGCAGAGTGGTCGCAGGGGCGCCCGCGCATGCTCCTGATTTCAAATCATCGTGCGTTTGGAATTGTAAGCTGTCGGAGATTATCGGCGGGAGATGGTACAACCAACTTATCTGTTCGGTGTTCTGTCTCTTCCATATATACATAGCATATATACATATGAGGTTTGAAACACGTATTGTGAGTCAAGAGTGGGGACCCGCAGTGTGAGACATCCTCAACCCCCAAAGTGTGGTCTGGCTGGCTGGTTGGTTGCCTGCCTGGCTGCCGGGCCAAAAATCAGTCTTATCTTGGCCCCGCGGTGTGGGACATTTTCAAACATGCCACGGTGAGGACTTGTTGGTTGGTTCGTTGGTTGCATGGTTGGCTGATTAGCTGGTTGGTTGGTGGGTTGGTTGGCTGGTATGTTAGTTGATCGTTTGGCCGGTTGGCCATTTTGGCGTGTGTTGGTGGTCAACTCGTACCGGGCTTGTCTACGAACGAAATTTCGTGCAATTGCGAGTGCAATGCAACACAATGCGCTGCGGTGCAACATGTTGCAAACGCAATTCCATGCCAACGCATTCCAATGCAGTGCAATGCAACTTCATCGTATTTTTGATTCGTCATTCAACAACGCCGGGTGGGGGGGCGGACAAGGCATACGATTCCATTCAACTCGCGTGGCAGCGCCTGGGGGGGCGAAGAGAGAGTATTCCATGTACTCGTCACGTGGCGATGCCGCCGGGGCCGAGAACAAATACAATTCCACTCCATTCGCCACGTGGCAACGATTGGGAGGTCGACGATATTATCCCACTAAGTATGCCCTTCACGTGATGACGCCGCGGTTTGGAAGCATACACGCCACGTGGGAACGCTGGAGCGATAAAAGCATTCGATATCTACCCATTACTTGTCAACGCCGTTGTCGCGAAACACAACTGTGCGTTTGCACTCGAGGTGGCAGCGCCGCGGTGGCGAACAAACAACTCGACTTGCGACGCGGCAGCGCCGCGGACGACGACGATGACGTCGACGACGACGATGTGTACCACAAAGACACCGACGACGAAGACGACGACCAAAACGACGACGACGACGGAATGTAATATAATTGTATAGGATGGGATGCGATGCGATGCGACGGGATGCGATGGGATTGGATAAAGTGGAATTGAATCTAGCGGAATGGAGTGGATTACACTGGAATTGAATGGAACGGAACGGAGCCACCGCCGACTGTTGGTGTTCCTTTGGTTCCGTTCCGTTCTATTCCATGCCGATCCATTCCATTCCGATCCGTTCCGTTCCATTCCATCCGATTCCATCCCATCGCGCCCCATCCCACATCCCAACCCATTCCGCTCCATATCGTCGTCGTCACCGTTTTCGTCGTCGTCGTCGTTGTCGTCGTCGTCGTCGTCGTCTTCGTCGTCGTCGGCCTTGTCGTCGTCCAGTTGCCGGGTCAACAAGACTTCTACCTTATTGTTTCAGCGGTTGGCTGGTTTGTTTGTTGGATGGTTATTTGGTTGGTTGGCAGGCTGGCTAGTGGATTGGTTGGCCAATTTTGGCACACACCTAGCACGGATCGCGCTTCAGGAGCCTGGAGTGATTTTCGTTGACCCACATAATGAATTTCTTAAGAACATCATAGCTTGTGAAAGAACCAATGTTCGCCAGCGTTGACTCAAATGATTGGTCTCTAGCAGTCTATGTTGCGCAATCTAGGTGGAGCGGTGTATGTGGTGTAGTCTACGTGGTGCAACCTTTTTTTCTTCTTCGGCGATAACGGCCGTTACGAGGGGGGGCGGAGGGGGCCGGTAATCTCACGATTCGCGCCGGTGGCGTTTGGGAATGCTTTGGACAAGTGTTATGCTGTCAGGGCTTACACAGTCTTCATTTTAAATTGGCAACTTCCGTGGACAACGCTGAAGTGACTCACAACCACATCGCCGTGTGGGACGACGTTGCTGGTTACCTCACGTCTGAATCCGGCCTTACGCACGCTGCAGCGTCGAGTTCTCGGCATCCGCACTTGTACGATCAAGTAAACATTTTTTTCAGGTTCTGCAGAATATGCTTCAATGTGTAACCCACCGCCGCCCTACGGGAGGAATGAGGAGGAATGGTGAGATGATTTTGTAGACGGGGATGAGACTGAGACGGAGGACGAGGAATAAGACGAGCAAGATAACGTCTAGTCCCCCTGTAGGGATTAATCCGTCTGGAGGGAATAGGACGGGGTGGGGGCGGGGGACAACATCGAAGCATATTCTGTCTAGGGTCCTGGAGCAAGAGGCACCACAATATATCAAGTACGTAGTCGCTATGCTGTTCCCACGTGCTCGGGGTCAATGTGGAAAGTGCTCGCTCTGCCCCGCGGGCTTGCAGAACCCAGCAGTCGAGTCGTTCACCGAAGCCGAGATTCAGACGCTGCTCAAGCCCATGACCAACAGCGTCACCGAGAAGCTACTGCTGAACCCAGGCAGCGACACGAATGCGCTGAAGCAGCGCATGTGGAGGAGAAGAAGGTCGCCAAGCAGATAGCTAAGCAGAAGAAGGAGAAAGCGAAGGCCGATAGGAAGGCAAACCGCCATGCCTTGGGGGCAGCGGCGTTGGCTCTCACAGCTAAAGGTGGCGTCAGGAAGCGCGTGGGGAAGTCAAAGGCGATGGTGACCAAGGCGAAGGCATCAGCCGCAGTGCTTCTGACAGACGGTCCGCCTGATGCCAAGAGGAGTGTCGATGCCTTGGTGGAGCTAGCGGCTGATCCTCAGGAAAAGGGGCTGAAGGTCTTCGAGCACATCACGAAGATGCGATGCAGGCTTCGTTCTATTTGCTGGGACTTCGAAGCGCAGGGCGCTAGAGTTGACGAGGACTACATCGACCAGGTCACGGGCATGGTCATCTACGGCGCGATGAAGAACACCTTGCCCGAGCTAAAGGTCCAGGACAAGCATGTTCAGGTCAACGGCTTCAGTCAGTTCAAGTTCTTCGCCAAGAAGGTTCTTCTGCAGAGCATCGGGAAGAGACGGTGTCTGCAAGCGACCTTGAGCGACCCCGTGACGGAGGTCGGCGATATCGAGCATGGGGCGAGTGGAGCTATCAGCGACGAGCCAGTGTACACCGACGCCGACGTGGTGGCCTACGCGCTCGACTGCGAGCCCTTGGCAGAGCACCTGGTTGGTCTGATCAAGAAAGCGCCGATCGACCTTCCTAACTCAGCGATTGCAGCTTCCCCCGAGACTCTCAACAACGTGCTGCTCGCAACCATGCAGAAGGTGCAAGCGATGGGGGGTACGCTGGCATGCAAGGAAGATGCGATGGACGTGTTGATGCGTGAGGTGATTTCTCGCGCTGAGAAGGTCTTCCCGAACGAGCTCGACGCGATGCTGACCAAGATCAGGCATTTCATACAAGACGGGCACCACAGCACGCTCATCAATAATGACGCCATCAAGTACATCATCGATGCTGGTTTGGACGTGGATCCCTATCCATGCATGGGCTTGTGAGTTTAGGGCATCAGATGTGCGCCGTGCAGGAGGGGCCCATCATCACCATGCAGCCGCATCTGCCGCCACTCGCGCATGGCTTCTGCAAGCAGTTCCTCGACAAGTACGAGATAAGCAAATGCAAGGACGACATGGGCAGCATCCCGCGGGAGTTCTCGAGGCTGAGGGACGCTATCAAGGAGAAGCGTGAGAGCACACTGCCTGCCGATACCACGCCAGTCTTGTTCAGGGGTGCGATGGCTGCTTGGGCACTCGACGCCATGGCTTGCCACAACCACTGCCTGGAGCACAACGGGGCGGCCCACAAGATGGCCAAGGATAACGTGGTGAAGGTTTGGTTTGTCCGCTTAAGCACTGCACCTGCACCCGTACTCCAAAAACGAACGTCCGACCCTCAATCCCCCAAAATCAATCCGGCCCTGTTAGACAAAAAATCTCTCCGGCCTTATTCCATGTTTTGTTTTCTCTCCGGCCCTAGTTTATGTTTTTCTTGGTGGGTGAAACTCCCGGCGGCCGAAGGAGGTGGGGGGGGGGGGGGCAGGCGCGGCGCATAGGCGCGCTAACCTAAGGCCACCAGCAGCGCGAAGTCGTGCCAGGAAGCCAAGATGGTCGTCGCAAAGGTGCTGCAGAGTCGTGCTTTGCCGATTCTGACTCAGGACATTCTCGTCTTCCCAGAGAAGAGGCAGAGCGCCTGCAAGGATGCCGCTGCGGCCATGGATGAGATCAACTGGAAGGCGGCGCGATCGGAGAAGCTGATTGACGCGAGTGGAGGGCTCTACGCACTGGGCCAATTCGTGGAAAGATCGAGGCCTGGGGTCAAGAAGGTCGCAATCCAAACGCAAGGAGAACAACGGCAACCACAGAGCGCACCCCAGCAAATGGAGGCAGCTCAATTGCATAGTGTGCCGCCGGAGCGGAAGTGCACCACCGTGTCGAGCAAGTTGGACAAAGTGCGCGAGGGTGAGCCGATGGATCCAGATGGCGAAGGCCTCGGCGAGCTCGACAAGAGGAACCCGATGGCAGCTGTGCGGAAAGCTGTGCTCTTGCGGGCGAAGCGCGAGTACCTCGACAAGGGCGCTCATGAGGGCTACGAGTACATGGCGATCTGCGACGTGGCGGATGACAAGGAGGCTGAGGCGACTGCGAAGAGCATGGAGAAGGATGCCCAGGAGCTGCGGGACGCCAAGGCGGCCTTGAGCCAGACAAAGGAGAAGAAGAAGGGGGCGCTGTACTTCAAACGCCTGGGGCCGAAGGGCAACGTTGATATGCGCTACTGGGGCAAGGTCATCACGTGCGAGAGCGCTTTCTCCGTGAAACGTGACTTGCCCCTGCCGCTGGAGTCCGACACGGGGGGGCGCGCCGAAGCTCTACTTGGACGGGGCGGCCTGCGAGAACGTTGAGAAGTCCGGCTTCTGCGCAGCTTGGCTCGCGCGCAAGGCAGGTCGGGTCCATTCCACAACAACTGTAGCCACGGGGCCAGAGAGATCCACCTGACTGGGGGGGGGGGGGGGGGGCAGACAGGACGGATCGGTAAGAGAAACGGAGAGGAGGAAATGAAAGGGAGAGTAGGGGGAGGGAGTGGAGGAGGCGGGGCGAGGTGGAAGGGGGGCGGATGGCCATGATAAAATATAAGTATAAGATAGAATAGGGCGGCGACGAGGGCGAGGAGGAGCGAGCAGGCGGACGAAAGGAAGGCTGGATTTGCGCAGCTGCTGTGGAATGATCGTCGGAATGACCACGAGGTTCCACTACCCAAGGAGAAGGGCGTCCCGAAGGAGGAGTAGACCACCGCGACCGAGCTCGTCGCCGCGGGAGCTGGTGCCAACGAGAGCGGCGCGGTGGCCAACGCCAACCCGAAGAAGAAGGCCAAGAAGGAGCCCAAGAAAGAGTTCGTGCACGTGCCGAGCCACCGCCTGGCCTACGAGGACGTGAAGATCCCGCTCGCGGTTGCCGCCATCCTGGGGGGGAGCTGCAAGCTGGCGATGCAGAAGGAGTTTGTCTACAAAGTGCCTCTGCTGACGCCGATCGGTCGCGCCGACTCGGGCCATGCAGACACGGGCGAGGTCAAGATGTTCCGCGAGCGCATGCCTTTCGATGGCGTGAAGCTTGAGCGCTCGACGAAGACAAAGGTGGTGGTGAGCAAGACGCTGTCGTTCATCATGCCGTAGGGATATAGCGTCGACGGGTGAGTGCTGGTTGCGCTGCCAGGTGCGCTACTAGCCGTTGCTTCCCTCCGCCTGCACCTCTCTCCTCTTGCTTGTCCCCCCTTGCTGCTGCGCCTCCCGCTGCTTCTACATGTCCCCATCCTGGCCCTCTTGTCACTACTATTGCTTTTCATCTTGCCCAATTCGTTTGCTCATTATGCTGCTGCTGCTGCTCCCCCCTTCTCCTCCTTGCAATCCTTGTCCTCCTCCTCCTCTTCCTCCTCCTCCTCCTCCTTAGCCCTGCTCTCTCACGCGTGCGCGGCGCAACTCCACGCAGGGCCTCGGTTGGCTGCGAGAGCCACGGGGCGGCGCGAGAGGAACACAACTTGCCGTTCTCGCGTCAGGGCGTAGGCTGCAGACAAATGATTCGGGAGAGAGTCCCGATGAGGACTTGGACAATGAGTGATGAGGAGGAGGAAAAGGGAACGCGATATGGAAGGGATAATGGACGAGGAGCCGCAGAGAGGGTTTAATACGGAAGAGGGCGGGGATGGGATATGGAACGACGATGGGCGAGGGATGCAATAGGAAGGAGAGAGGATATGATATTTGCTCAGAGTTCACAGCGGGCACGTGACAATATATCAGTATTTCTGTATCATATATGGAATGTCTGTGCATTCGCCATATGAATTATTTTTTTGGGGCAAGGTAAAAATCATTAAGTTCGATCGTCGGGAATGGGGCGGGGGGCAGCGGAATCTAGCACTTTGGGGGCGCGCTATGAAAATGGTTAGCTCTCCGAAACGCTCGGACGCACTATACTCAGCCATGGCGGTGCCGAACTTGACCACGCCCGCCGACAAATATGACGATGCCCTCGCGTCGGCGGCGCAGGTTTTCGAAGGGTTTCGACGCGCGCGCGCGCGGCCGACGCGCGCGAGCGGCCCGCGCGGCATTATTCGACCTTCGCCGCGCCCCCCCCCCCCCCCCCCCTTTAGCGCGCGCGAGGGCGTTCGAATTGCGCGCCCCCCCCCCCCCCCTCCCCAGAAATCCGCAAGGTTTGGAGCGCAGGAGTTTTTTGAACGCTGACGTTGCAAAACCTTGTGTTTGTATATGTGTTCGGCGCGCCCTTTTAATTTCTTGCGACGCTCATGTCTTTTGACAGGTTCAGGCATGCGCGCGCAACGACGCGCGCGCGTGCACTTCGCCCCATTCGTTGCGCGGGATTATTTTGACGACGCGCGCGAGACGGCGGTCGAACGACTCCGACATGCGCGAGCGAGGGGCCCGCGTAGTGACATGTTATGAGCATGGCGAGAACCGATGGTGTTTCCAAGAATGTGCGCCAGAGCGCGCGCGCAGTTGTTGTAAGCCTTGTTGCGAAACCATATGCTTGCATATGCTTTCGTGACCCTCGATTTGGCAATCTTTACGCAACCCAGTGTTTTGAGATGCCGGCATGGGCGCGCGGCGACGCGCGCGTCTGCATGTCGCCCCATGTTTTGCAAAGTGTATATTGGAATTACTGATTGCTGGGCAACGAACGCGCGCGCATCGCCTTTGCTGCGAAGGATGAAGGGGGGGGGGGGGGGGGCGATGGGGCAGAATCGTATGTCTATTGCAGTGCGGAAAGGTGGACCTCTGGTCCAGGGTCGGAGGGTCGGAGGGAAATCCCAATTTCTTTGATGGCTAATCTACGTGATGCAACCGGTATTGTGCAATATCTGCGGTGCAATATTTCCCGCGCAGTTCGCGTGCCGAACTTGAAATTGTCAATTCCACTGCTCGCGCAACTTGGTTTGCAAAACCCATGCGGGGGCGATTGCGATGAGTGCTTGGCGTTGGCTGGTGCATCTCTGCGGCCGCGCTAGCCCGCGCATGCTCGCGCGCGCAGCGGCCAGCTAGTTTGGCGCGACCGACGCGAACGCGGTGGCGCTGACCGCTCGGCACATCCCAGCGGGCGCATCAGTGCGAGACGGCGGCTTGGGCGAGCGCGGTATCATGGCCACGTCGACAACGGTAGACACCAAGATGGTAGTAGCGATGCTGGTGACGATGCTGACAGCGACGACGGGGCAGCCAGTGGCGGTGCCGATGCTGATCATGCCGACGACGATGACGGCGTTGTCGCGTCGGTGATGAAGATATTGGAAGGAATTCGACATGCGCGCGCGACAGACGCGCGAGAGTGGACCGCATGACGTTATTTGACATGCATCGTGCCACCCCAGCACGCGCGCAAGGGCGTTCGGACGATTTCGATGCGCGCGCGAATCCGAGATTGTAGCATTATATGAAAATGTCTGGTTGCCTTAAGCATTCACAAGATCGCGCGCACGCTTTTGTTGAACATCCGTGTTGCGAACCCTGTCATGTGTACATGTTGTTTGGGCACTCGATTTTGAAATCTCTCCGAAACCGAGAGTTTTTGAAGGATTTAGGCATTCGCGCGCGACGACGCTCGCGCGTGCACTTCTTTCAATTTCTGTCGCAGGGGATTCTCGCGACGGCACGCGCGCAACTGCGTTCGAACGATTTCGGCACGCGCGCGCGAGACCCGTTTTGTAGCATTGTCTGAAAACGTTGAACAAGCCAATGGTTCCTTTACGAATTCGCAAGGGCGCGCGCATGTTTTTTTGTTGAGCATCTGTGTTGCGAAACTCTGTGTTGTATGTATGTATGTTTTCTGACACCCTTCCGGAACCTAAGATTTTTGACGGATTTCGACATGCGCGCGCGACGACGCGCGCGCGTGCACTTCGTTTGATTCTCGTGCAAGGGATTTCTGGAAATTTATGAGGTTTGGTAACGAGTGCGCGCGCATGGTATCTATTGCAAAGGATGGCGGGGGGGACGATACAGGCTTGGCTGGGTTAGTATGAAATCACAGGTAGGATGGACATTTGGGTCAGAATCGTAGTGTTTTGCGCTGGTTCCCGGTGTGTCTTTCAGACCGAGGGGGGAGGGTGGTAGATCTTATTTTCTTTTCGGGGGGAGAATGGCGGCGACGAGGGGGCGACGGCGAACACGGAACCGCCAGATCGCCAGCAAGGCCCACACGATGGGGGACGACGAGGCCGCGACGGGGCGGCGATGGCGAACACGGAACCGCAAGACTGACATCCAGGGCCACTTCGCTAGGCGGCGACGAGGCGGCGACGGGGCGGCGACGGCGAGTACGGAACCGCCAGGCCTTCACTCAGGGCACGTTCCTTAGAAAAGGATTTCCCCCTAAATGCAAGCATTGTTTCGGGATTGGAATTCGCCCAGAAACCATTGTTGACTTGAGCGCAGCAAGCAACCAATCCCTCCGCCCCTGTCAAAAACGAATGCATACTGGTCGCAAGGCGCCCGCGCAAGCTCCCAACTTGGAGGCAAACTGTATTTGTAATGCTCCCAACCATTTTGTGGGGTGCCCGTTTTGAATACGCATCGCCCCTCGTCTCCTCCTTTCCGCTCCTCTGCCCATCCCTGCTTGTGCCTTCTGCGTGCAAAAGCATGTCGGTGCAACCTTTACGCGTTTCGTGGCCACATAAGGAGCTCTACCGAAGGGCCCACTGGTTGCGTTCGCATGGCACCGCCGCGCCCATTTGGGCACACCCTTCCGTTGTCGTGCCCCATAGGGAACTCCACCGAAGGTCCCGCTGGCTGCAGTCGCATGGCACCACCGCGCCCTTTTTTGCACACCCATCGCACGCTTCGTGGCCCCCTTGGGAGCTCCACCGAGGGCCCCAGCGGCTGCTTTCGCATGGCACCGCCGCGCCCGTTTCGGCACACCTTTCACACGTTTCGTGGCCGCTTGAATTCCACGGAGAACAGAACCCAGAACGTGATATTCTCAATTGCGGATGGTTGGGCCCTCCGCCATAATGTTTTGTTGTTGACAGGGATGGTCGGCTTGCGCGCAGCAAGCTGTGAGGCCCCCCCCCCCCGCCGTCCCTGCCTAAAACCCAAGCAGAGTGGTCGCGGGGCGCCCGCGAAGGCTCCAGAATCGGAGGCGACCGGTATGTTGTATTGTTTCTTCCACCAGGGGCGGTGGGGGGGTTCATGGGGATGGTTTGGCTGCCGGTCGCCTGGGGGAGGGGGATGGATGTTTGTTACTTGGGAACAGTGATCCAATTCCCCCCACGCAGGACAGCCGTCTCGCTCGCTCCCACCCGCCCCCCCACTGCATAAGTAGCACCTGGGTCTCGCATAAGTGGGGGGCCGCTATCGACAAGACTCGGGAACCAATGCAGACGCAAGCCAGTTTCGCGACGCCCGCGATGTGCGCCGCACGTGCCAGGTGCGCCACGCGCACCAGGTGCACCACATTGGGCAGTATGTAGGCCACCCCAGCATCCCTGTCGAAAACCACGCAAAGTAGCGGCGGGACTGCCAGCCTTGTGCGTCGTGCGTGCGCCCGCAACCACGGCGCGCTTGCTTTTGAAGGGGACGGTGGGCCTGCGCACACTGCCGCCGCCCCCGCCGTCTCTGGCAGAGTGCACGTCGGCATCCCCCCAACATACTTATACTATGTGTTCGTCGCCCCCCCCCGGGGCGACGCGCGCACCGAAAAATCTTGTAGTATATGCGTCGTGGCGGGCGCTTTCTGGCCACACCGCTCGAGAAACGATATACTACAAGATGGGTATACTATATGTTCGGGTCGGACGCGCGCCTCCAAGGCGGACATACAGTATTAGTATGTCTCTGTGCGTCCCATGCACGTTGTATTTTTGTTGTTGACGCGGATGCTGGGCCTGCACACACCAGGCAGCACGCCGGCCCCCGGCCGCCGCTGTCGACGAACACTGTCAAGGTGACCACGGGGCGCCAGCGCCCGATTCGGATTTTGCCGCGGCGTGTGCGGTGTGTTTGGTTGCATTACGGTCGGCCCGACGTATAAGATCGTGGTCGGTTCGGGGAGGGTGCCCTCGTGTTCTTCGAGTTTGTTGGACGTTCTCCTGCGACCTGGGGAGGGTGCCCTTGGATGTTCTGCGTGTTTTGGCCGGCGGAGGGCCTCATGTTCTTGAGGGGTGCTCTCCTGGCCTAGGTTCGACTTTACACACAGCAGGCAACATGCCAGCGCGCCCGCCTTCCCTGTCAAGAGTCTGTGCAAAGTGATCGTAGGGCGCCCGCGTATGATCCAGATGTTGGTGCAAGGTGTATTTCGCAGCGTGTCCTGCAGGGGATGGTGGGGTATGTGAGCACTGCAGCACAGCAGGCAACATGTTGGCACCCCTGCCGTCCGTGTCAAAAGCCGATGCAAACTGACGGCGGGGCGTCCGCGCATGAATCAGATTTTGGTGCAAAGTGCAATGTGTAGTGCTTCTGTAGAAGGGATGGCGGGGGGGATATTATTGGCCCGGGTTTGTCGCTGGACGGGTTGAGGGGGGGGTGAAACATGTGTTGACGCTTCGCGAACCCCCATCAGCCCATCCAGAAACGATGCCCAGAGGAATTGCTTCGATCAGGGAAGTGGGCAGCATACAGAGGAAGCCATTATGAGACATCTTAGGATATCTTGAGCCATCTTGGAGGTCATTTGGGGCTCACCCAGGCGCTCTTGGAGTCATCTTAATCAGTGCCCCCCCTCAGAGGCCAACATGCGGCTAAAACCTTAGTGAAATCAATGATTTGGCATTCTCGCCGAGGCCTCTTGGAGAATCTTGGGTGCCTCCGGGGGGGTCTCTTGGGGCCTCTTGGGGGTCTCTTGGGGGCCTCCTGGGGGCCTCTTAGGGGCCTCTTGGGGCCATCTTGGGGCCATCTTGGGACCTCTTGGGGCCTCCTGGGCGCTTCTTGGGGCCATCTTGGCAGAGATCGATCAGACAAGAGGGGAGCTTCAATTAGGGCCCCTCCCCCAGGAGGCCAACATGGGGCCAAAATCGAAGTAAAATCAATGATTTTTGGCTTCCTCGCCGAGGCCGTTTTGGACGCTCCGACGACTCGCGAAACCCCCTGTCCAGGTCCATGGGGAGGGGGTAGGGGGAGGGGTAAACCCCTCCCCGAAGGGGAAGAAGGAGGGGTGGAAGAGGAAACGCTCTAATTATTGACGCCCAGAGGGCTGGTGGGATTAAGGACCAGTGATCACCCCTCCCCGAAGGGGAAGAGGCGGGGTTGGAAGAGGAAGCGCTCGAAACCGCTCGCGCCCTGAAGGGCTGGTGGGATTCTTCCCGCCGCCGTCCGTCGGAGCGCTGGGCCCTGACAGGCAGGTCGGGCGGACGGGCCCTTGAGGGCGGATCGGGCGGGCGGGGTGTCCAAGCTCGGGGGCGCGCAGACATGGATTCGCGATCCACGGATTTGGCGCGCGGCCGCCAAATCCATGGATCGGGGGAGGTGCCTCTCCAACATGTGGCCGGTGCCGCCTCGCTCGGCGGCAGAAGTCCGCGATTTCCCACGGAAGCGGGGCCCGTCGCCAATCCACGCCCCCCGGATCCATGTTTGCGATCGCCTGACAAGCGGGCGGGCGGGCTCGCAGGCAAGCGAACGGGAGAGAGACGGACGCGGTGCATTCTGCCGCAGCGGCTTCTCCTGGCCGGGCGAGCCAAGGGGGGGCCCAGCACACAGGGGGGAGGTCCGAAGTTTGCTGCGTGCGGCTGGTCTCGGCCCCGCCGCCCAGCGCGTTCCTCGAGGCATGGTTGAAGTCGGGCCATGGCGATGCATTGGCGATGCATTGGCGATGCGGCGCGATCCTCCGACCCCATCTATTCGGACCTCATCTAGGAGGCCTCTACTCGTTGAAAGTAGGTATTCTTGGATTCCCAGATCCCAATTTACTTTGCTCGCCGCTTCCTACTTCGAGAGTCGAGCGGTTTTCTTTCTTCCCTCCTTTTCAGGGGGCGGGCGGATGCCCGAACTATTTCCAACGCCTTCCTACTTCATGTTTCTACCCACTTCTTTCGACCGACGTGTGCTCCTCTCCTTTCGTCTAGCCCGATTTGTGCTGGTCAGGCATCCCGGCATCGACGAGCAAGCTTGTTCGGCTCCTGTTTTTGTGTCGGCAGGGCAGTGGCAGCGCTGCAATTTGGCAGGGCGGTTGTGGGCCCGTGCCAGTCGACGGGTCACAGTCTTGTCTGGAGCCCCTCCCCAGCACAGCCTCTCGTCATCCTTTTCCTCCCTCCCTCCTCCAGGGCGCTGACCCGTACCTCGACCGTGCTGCGTGAGCTCCTCGCCGGCAAGCGAGCGGCCCCCCCCCCCGCACGTGAGGAGGGCGATCTCCCCGTGCGGGGGTGGAGGGCGGCCGGCTTGAGACGAGAGGCAGTGCCAGTCTGTGAGGCGGCGGCCCTCTCGCGCGGGTCTCGCTGCTCGGGTCTTCATCACTCCAGGGCCCCTCCCCTCCTCCTCCTCCTCCTCCTCCTCCTCCTCCTCCTCCTCCTCCTCCTCCTCCTCCTGCACCTCCTTCACCTCCTCCTCCTCCTCCTCCTCCCCCCCCCCGCGCTGCAGACGCTCACGCAGTGGCGGCAGAAGCACGAGCGCACGCAGGAGCGTGCGGGGCGCCCCCTGCGGGGACAGCGCGCGCCTCCAGTTGGGGTGGGGGGGGGGCTGGAGGGAGGGGGGGCAGGGGAGGGGGGGCGGGGACCGTCCCGCCCGCCTCCTCTTTCTCCTCCTCGTCCTCTTCCTCTTTCTCCTCATGCCCCTCTTCGTCCCCCTCCTTTTCCCGCCGCCGCGTCTACCGCTAGCACAACCACGTGTGCTGCGGCTACTGATGTTAGGGTCGAGAATCCCCTGGTCACGCGCCCCCCTGACATCACCTGGTTACGCGTCAGGCTTGGGACTTTGGGTGCCCCTCTGTGTGGGCCTGAGGAATGGATTTGGACAGAGGGCAGTTGCGGTCGTCTTCTGCTCACGCGTGGAAGCTGTGAAGTTTTCAGCTGCACAGCCCGCAGAGTTCCAATGAGCTCCCCAGGGGGACCTGGGAACCTTCTTGGAAGCGAGATGCATTCCTCCGGATTCTGGACCATTCTTCGGGCATCCCGAGGAACCCGAGGAATCCCGAAGAGCCCCGAGGAAACCCGAAGTATCCAGAGGAACCCGAACGGACTGGATGTATCTTGAGGAATAATATGCAGACATAATAGTAGCCTGAATCCTGAAGATTCCTGAGGACTCCAGAGGATTCCTGAGGAACCCAGGGGGATGCATAATAATCCGGAATGATCCAGCAAGTTTTTTTTGTTCTGATAATTCCCAAGGGGTCGCGTCGAACCCAAAGGGGTCCAGAATTTGGAAAATAATTGTGGGCGCCTGAGATTCCTGCGGAATATGGATGAACACAAGGATCCTGCGGGCCGTTCAAGAATCCTGAGGTGTCCTGAGGAACCCAGAGGAACTCTTGCTGAATCCCACCAGCCCTTTAGGGCGTAGGTGGTCTAGGGAGCTTCCTCTTCCAACCCCCTTCTTCCCTTTCGGGGAGGATCTCACCCCTCCCCTCTACCATCTCCCCTGGACGTGGCCGGAGGGCTCCGCGGGTAGTTGGAGCGTCCAAGACGGCCTCGACGAGGAAGCCACAATCACTGGTTTTACTTAGATTTTGGCCCCATTTCGGCCTCCTGGGGGGCGAGGCTAATTGGGGAACTCCCCTTTTTTGATCGATCTCTTCCGAGATGGCCCCAAGAGCGCTCCCAAGGTTCCCAAGGGTGCCCCAAGAGGGCCCCCAGAGGTTGCCAGGAGGCCCCAAGAGGCCCCCAAGAGGCCCCCAAGAGGCACCCAGGAGGCTCCCAAGAGACCCCCAAGAGGCCCCTCAGAGGCACCTAGAACGCTCCAGGAGGCCTCGGCGAGAATGCCCAAATCACTGATTTTGCTAAGGTTTTGGCCACATGTTGGCCTCCTGGGAGGGGATGCGCTGCTTAAGATGACTCCAGGAGCGCCTGGGGGATCCCAAGATGACTTCCAAGATGGCTCAAGACATCCCTAGATGCCTCAAGATGGCTCCGACGATGCTCCAAGAAGCCCCAAGACCGCTCCAAGACTGCTCCAAATGGCCAAAGAGCTCCTTCAGGAGGCCCCGAAGAGGCCCAAATCCTTCCAAAACCTTAAGACAATTCATGCTTTTGGCTTTCTCACCTTTTCGCTTCCGATGGCCATCCGAGGCCTCAAGATGGCTCCAAGATGGCCCAAGAGGGTTCCAAGAGCGCTCTCAAAGCTCCCAAGAGCGCTTCAAGAGGGCCCCAAGCTGCGTCCGGGAGGCCAACAGGCGCCCAAGAGGCCTCCAAGAGGCTCCCAAGAGACCCCCAAGAGGCCCGAAGAAACTCACCGAGGCACCCAAGACGCTCTAAGAGGCGCCTGGGACCGCCAAGAGGCCCTCAAGACGCTCCAAGAGACCTCCACTGGGGGACCCTTCCTTTGTGTGCTGCCCACTTCCCTGATCGAGGCGATTCCTCTGGGCATCGTTTCTGGATGGGCTGGCGGGGTTACGCGAAGCGTTTAGATTTCTGAAGACCCATGAGGATTTCTTGGGAATCCGGAAGCACCCTGAGTGCGGAATCCTGGGGAAGCCTGAGCAATCCGACGGGCCCCCGTGGGCGAAGTCCAGAAGAAGCCGCAGAAACCATTACGAATCTTCGGGATTCCTTATGGATCCAACGGAATACTGAGGAAACTCGAGGGAGCGTGAACAATTAATGAGGAAGCGTGAGGGGTCGCAAGGCGCCCGAAGGATTCATGAGGAATTGAGAGGGATCGTTGAGAATCCTGTGGAGCCGCCGTGAATCCCGAAAAATCCGGCGGACTTTTCGAGGAACCCGTGGATCTCCAAAAGATCATGGGATATCGTTGGGGATCTTAAGAAATCCAGGGAAATTCCAAGAAACCCTACGAATTATTGGGGACCTGTACATCTAGGGATATTCAACAGAACTGCAACCACATCCGGCGGAATCCTTTTTGGAATCCTGGGGCCCCAGACGATTCCATCGGACGGGGCTATGACGAGGTTAAATCCGTTCAAGAGCGTTCCGGAACGCTCTCAGAGCGCTCTGGCGCGCTCTGAGAAGGCCGCGGCGCCCGAGACATCCTCCAGAGCTGCCGGATCTCAGAGACTCCCGATTTATCCTCACCTGATTCTGTATCCGTCCTGGCGTCGTTTTTTGTCCCAGGAGGCTCGGAGGTGCCACCGAGATGTTCCCGGAGGGGGATGCGATCACGGCGGCCTGGGCGCTTGGGGCTGGCCCGCCCGCGCCCTGGTGAAAAGCCGCGCACCCATGGTGTGCATGTTGCGCGCAGTCGACGTGGGAGAGGGGGAAGAAGGAAGCAGAGGAAGAAGGAAGCAGAGGAAGGGAGGGAAAGGGGGGAAAGGGGAGGAAGCAGGAGCAGAGGGGGGGAAGAGAGGAAGAAGGAAGCAGAGGAAGCAGGAGCAGAGGGGGGGGAAAGGGGGGAAGAAGGAAGCAGAGGAGGAGGGAGGACGAGCAGCAGAAGGGTGTCGGCGAGGGAGTCGGCGGCGCAGGAGGGACACGGCCCTGCCAGGGTCCGCTTTGGGCTCTCTCGGAAGCCAGGGCACGCGTGAAGTTGGCGCCGGGGCACGCACGATTTGGTGGCGTCGGGAGCCTTGAAACGGTGGTCGATGCAAGCGGGGGTCAGTCAGAGCGCAGGATCTTGCAGGATCCTGCAGAGCCAGGGTTGCGCTGACCCGGGCTTGGGTGCGGGATCCTGCAGGATCCTGCAGGGTCTTGCAGGATCTTGCAGGGCCCGACTGACCTGGGTCTGCATCGACCCGGGTCAGTGGGTCCCCGATGGTGCTCGAGGCAAGCCTCCTCGAATGCAAGTGGTCTGACATGTGGGGCGTCTCAGGAAATGCACTCGGGGCAGTCAGGTTGGGGCAGCTCCGACGGCGGGAGCCACGGCGGAGGGCAGCGGAAGGAGAAGCGAGACGCCAGTCCATCTTGTGGCAAAGTGGCCATTTGGTTGCACGATGGGATCGGAGAGTTGTTGAGTTGTTGTGGTTTGAGTTGTTGCGAGAAGCTCGCGAGGGGACAAGCAGTCACTGGGTAGGCCAGGGGTGAGACTCATCCGAATATGTCCCCACCCCACGTCCATATTGTGTCATGGTTGCCGTTTGTCTGTGTGCTCACGGGATTGAGGAGTTGCTGGGTTTTTGTTTCCCCCGAGTTGTCGCGTGAATCTCTCGCGGGGAGAAGCAGTCGCTGGGTAGGCCAGGGACGAGACTCCACGGAGTACGTCCCTTCCCCACGTCCCCCGGGAACTGTCTCGGAGCATCTCGGGTGATGCGGGAGTATTTAGGTCTTGGCAGGATTTTGTCAGAAGCGTTTCAAAGGGGTAGCCATGTCCGTGGCCGCTCGAGCCTCTTCCTTCGAGCTCCGGGCGGCGAGCCTTTGCCTCCAAGAACGCGCGCGGCCCTCGGAGCCTCCTCCTCCTCCTTCTCCGCCGCCCCTCCGTGCACTGCTCCCTGAAGTGTCTCCTGCACGATTTTCACCCGTGCACGACATGCGGCCACGGCCTCGTGCGCCCTGCCCACACGGGCACGGGCACACCCGCGTGCCCCACTCCGGCGCCTCCGCTCCGCTCCGCTCTCGCACGCGCCAGTTCCTCAGAGCAGCACCAGTCGCCAACAGCATGCATGCTGAGCACGGCGCCGGCTGCGCCTCATGCTGCTTGCGTTCCTCCGCCCTCTCATCCGCTTTGTCATCCGCATCATTTTCGCTCCCGCTGCGAGCACCGGGGGCTGCCTGACCGCACTGGAGATGAGCACGAGCCGCGGGGGGTTGAGGGGCGCGGCTTTCGCCACTTTCGTGGCCTCCTGAGGGGTCCAGCGGAGTGGAGTGGTAAGGGCATCCAGTTGGGACCTCTGGGATCCAATTGGAATCCAGTAGGACATGCGCTGATCCCGGGCACCCGAAGATGTTTCAAATATTATCCGTAAGGGCTTCGCCCCCTGCCGCCGGCCCGCTCTCTATCATAATGGGATATAGCGCAGAGTCGCGTCTGTGCGTCTCGGCGCTGCCTTGGCGCATCTGGGAACAGCATGCGGGGGCGGATAGGAGTCCTCAGCGCATACTGAAACTTTGGCACTATATCGAAGACGCCTACGGCGAATCACCACCGCCCCCTGCCCCTTTGGAAGCGCCTCTGTGGCCGACAGCTGGGCCAGAGCTTGGCCAAGCTATCGGGCCAGTTGTTCCCCGAGTCGGTTTGGAAAGACTTCGGGGAACGCATGGGGGAGCAAGAGGAGGAGGAGGGGGAGGATGAGGAAAAAAGAGGAGCAGGAGGAGGAGGAGGAGGAGAAGGAGGAGGAGGAGGAGGAGGAGGAGGAGGAGGAAGCCTCTTGGGCGCCTCTTGGGGCACTCTTGGGGGCCTACTGGGAGCTTCCTGGGGACCTCTTGTAGGGTCTTTGGGGGCCTTTGGAGGCATCTTGGGGGCCTCTTTGGCCGTCTTAGGGCGTTCCTGGCTTGTCTGACGCCGTCGGAAGCCGTCTTGGGGGCCTGTCTGGGTTGTCTTGGGGCCCTCTTGGGCCAGGGTTCTTAGAGGCCATCT